CTTGGTTGACCTTCGACATAAAATCCAGAGTGTCTCATAAACCTGTAGGAATTGCCATAACACTCCTTGATGAAAGTATCAATGTACTTGGTAATCGGCTCCAATAGGCTGTCTCTGGCTGACACTATTTGTCTTCCTGGAGGTTTTGTTGGATCTTTGTGTATCTTCTGTAGTGTATACAGCACAGGGTGTTTAGGGTATTCAACAAATAGGAATTGGGCGCTTTTCATATCCAGATATTCACATTGTGTCCCCAAATCAATGTGATTTTTTTTATTATTTTCTGAAATTTTAGTGTTGGAATAAAGGTGGGTCTGGCATACGTGTTGTAATCATTTAATTGCCAATAGATTTCACTTTGATAGTTATGGTATGACTGACTGTTGCTCCGCCATTGTACGCGGGTCGAATTATAATACTAGGATCCTGCCTTAAGTCTATTAAAGCCAGCTTTTCTCCTTGTGTCAGATTCTGTTGATGTTGGGTGGATTTTTTATTGTTTTCTCCGTGTCTGTTTTCACTGTTTAGATAAACGTTTTTATTGACGTGTTCGATGTTCGGATTTGTATTTCGTTGGAAATGGATGTGGTTTTGTGTATATCGTATCTTTAGAGTGTCGTTTGAATTTTGTACATCCCTATTTCCATCTGGAAAGGATCTGGTTTTGCAACAGTAACAAATGACAGGCCTTTATTTAGTAGTGAATAGTGGTCAGAGTTTAGGATTTTATCAGATAAATTAAATACGACTGTTATTTCCTTATTCTATGAGGTTTTCCAGTAAGGCTTGTACTTTTTCCAGTTCCTCTGCCCTCTTCGTATTGGTCGGTTCTTTTTGCGCCTCGAGTGTTGATATGTGATTAGAGTTGAGCGAACCCGAACTGTAAAGTTTGGGTTCTTACCGAACATTGTTTTTAGGACCCCGGAACCAAACACGGACATATCACTGTATGTTCTGGTTGGAGTTCGGTGTTCAGCGATTTAATAGTTACATAGTTACATAGTTACATAGCTGAAAAGAGACTTGCGTCCATCAAGTTCAGCCTTCCTCACATTTGTTTTTTGCTGTTGATCCAAAAGAAGGCAAAAAAAACCAGTTTGAAGCACAATTTTGCAACAAGCTAGGAAAAAAATTCCTTCTTGACCCCAGAATGGCAGTCAGATTTATGCTTGGATCAAGCAGTTATTACCCTACATTGAAAGATTATATCTTGAATATTCTGTTCTTGCAAGTATGCATCTAGTAGCCGTTTGAACATCTGTATGGACTTTGATAAAACCACTTCTTCAGGCAGAGAATTCCACATCCTGATTGTTCTTACAGTAAAAAAACCTTTCCTTTGCCTTAGACGAAATCTTCTTTCTTCCAGTCTAAACGCATGGCCTCGTGTCCTATGTAAAGTCCGGTTTGTGAATAGATTTCCACACAATGGTTTGTATTGGCCCCGAATATATTTGTATAATGTTATCATATCCCCTCTCAGGCGACGTTTTTCTAAACTAAATAGGTTTAAATTTGTTAACCTTTCTTCATAGCCGATATGTTCCATTCCTTTTATTAGTTTTGTAGCCCGCCTCTGCACTTTTTCTAGTGCCATAATATCCTTCTTTAGAACAGGTGCCCAAAATTGCACAGCATATTCAATATGGGGTCTTACCAGTGATTTATAAAGAGGCAAAATGATATTCTTGTCCCGAGAATGAATGCCCTTTTTCATGCATGACAATACCTTACTGGCCTTGGCCACTGCTGATTGACATTGCACATTGTTGCATAGTTTGTTGTCTATAACAATTCCCAAGTCCTTTTCGTGTGTTGTTATCCCTAATTCACTTCCATTAAGGGCATACGTTGTTTGTGTATTCTTTACGCCAAAGTGCATAACTTTGCATTTTTCAACATTAAATTTCATCTGCCATTTGAGTGCCCAGTCCCTCAGTCTATCTAAATCCCTCTGCAGCAAGGTAATATCTTGCTCACATTGTATTGTTTTACAAAGTTTGGTGTCATCTGCAAACACTGAAACATGACTTTCAATGCGGTCTTCAAAATCATTTATAAACATGTTAAATAGAAGGGGTCCCAGAAGAGACCCCTGAGGGAACACCACTTGCCACCTCTGTCCAGCTTGAAAATTTACCATTAATGACAACTCTTTGTACTCTGTTTTTAAGCCAATGTTCTACCCAAGAACAAGCATTTTCATCTAGACCGATTTCTTTGAGTTTGAACACTAATCTATTGTGTGGAACTGTATCAAATGCCTTGGCAAAATCCAAATAGATCACATCCACGGCAACACCCTGATCTATACTTCTACTTACTTCTTCGTAGAACGCAATCAAGTTAGTTTGACATGACCTGTGCTTCATAAAACCATGCTGATTTTTGCTGATAACCATGTTCTTCTCAAGGAATTCTTGAATATTATCCCTTAATAACCTTTCAAATATTTTAACAGCCACAGAAGTTAAGCTCACAGGTCTATAATTCCCAGGCAAGGATTTTGAGCCCTTTTTGAATATAGGAACCACATTTGCCTTCCTCCAATCCTCCGGAACACTTCCTGAAAGAAAAGAATCTTGAAAGATTAAAAACAGAGGTTCACTTATTTCTGCACTTAGTTCCTTAAGTACACGTGGATGGATACCGTCAGGCCCTGGAGTTTTGTTTATATTAACTTTCTTTAGTTGCTGCAGCACCTTGTCTTGAGTTAACAAATTACAATTATTCTGCAAGTTTTTAGTAGCAATCATTTGCACATCTATTGCCATGGGTTCTTCCTTAATATATACGAAGGAGAAATAGTTATTTAAAATTCCTGCCTTTTCCTGGTCTTCATTAACTAACACCCCCGTTTCAGTTTTTAGAGTACCTACACTTTCATTTTGTTTTTTTTTAGAATTTATGTACTTAAAAAATGCTTTGGGGTTGGTTTTGCTCTCTTCAGCTATCATTATTTCATTTTGAAGTTTAGCAAGTCTAACTGCCTTTTTGCACGCATTATTTGCATCCTTATATCTTTTATAAGATGCATCTGATTTGTCCGATTTAAATGCTTTAAATGCCCTTTTCTTAGTTGTAATCTCTTGTTTTACTTCTCTACTAAGCCACATTGGTGCATTTTAAAAGGCTGTAGGGCAGCCAATCAACAAGCGTTTGACTCGTGTGCCCTTAGAAGCCATCACAGCCGTACCTACTAATAGCATGGCTGTGATTGGCCAGTGCAGCATGTGACCCAGCTTCTATATATAAGCTGGAGTCGCATAGCGCCGCACGCACATGAGGTCTTATTAGTGTAGGGAGAGGATGCTCCTGCTATGAGGGACAGCATAGGAAAGAATTCAAACTATTACATTAGTGGGCTGCACTTCATATCTGAGAGTCAAATAGACGCTTCAAATACCATGGTTACATCAGAGTTTAAAAAAGTTAAAAAAATTTGGGTGCTAAATAGTACATTAATGGGATAGTACATTAGTGGGGTGCACTTCATATCTGAGAGTCAAATAGAATCGTCAAATACTGCTGTCACATTGCAGTTTTAAAACTTTTTTTAACATTTTTTTTTTTTTTTTTTAATTTTTTGGGTGCTAAACTGCTAAATAGTATTTTAGTGGGGTGCACTTCATATCTGAGAGTCAAATAGAAGCGTCTAATCATGTGCTTACAGCACAGTGCGAAACATTCTAATTGTTTTGCTGCTAATCCGCTGCTTACATTGGAGTTTTAAAAAGTCATTTTTTTTTTTTGGTGTTAAATAGTATATTTAGGGTGTTCACTTCATATCTGAGAGTCAAATAAAAGCGTAACTTTGATTCGAATTTACTACATCGGTCACTTGTAATATTGTTTCACACCTACAACACTTGTTACACAGATCTAAGTGATAGAAAACAGATTGATATTTTCTACACTAGAAGCTACCAGATAACAAGCTGCTATATTTAAACCAGTTATCAATAGCTAAGAGGTACTTAAACAATATTGTAATTCTGGGGCAATACCCTCACAAGTCAAACGGAGAGGTCAGTTTATAGGGAAAACTGTTGCCTGGATACAATTCTAAAACAATTTCCATATGTCCTTTGCAGACTATACATGATGGAAAAAACACAGGTGCCAACTGCTGTGCATACCGGCAAGCAGGGCAGGGTTGAGGAGTGGGTGGAAGATGATGTGGAGGATGATGAGGTCCTAGACCCCACATGGAATCAAGGTCATGCGAGTGATGTGTGCAGTTTGGAGGAAGAGGCGCTGGTCGCACAAAGGCACCAGTACAGCATAAGAGGGAGCAGGGTGCAAAAGCATCCATCCCCTAGCACTCGTCTGCATGTATTCGCTTGAGAATTACCAGTTATCCAAGTAATACATGTAGCGATCAAAGGATCCATAATAGAGTTGAGCGAACCCGAACTGCAAAATTCGGGTTCGTACCAGATTTAACGATCCATTCGTAGTTTCACAGTCAGGTGGGCAGTCCGGTGACCAGGACCCAGACACTGTCTGGGCGGCAGTCGGATGTCTGGGACCCAGTATGCCTGATGTAGAAGTTAGGAGTCACAGTGTGGAATGGATTAGCAGGGTCTGGTGCAGCGTAACTGCACGCCCCCTGGTGTTGAGCACCAGCGTTTGTGTGGCCACATACCAGGACCCTGATGCAGCTTCTGTAAAAAGAGTACTGGATACCAGAAGCCATCACCAGACTGATCCACAACTTGGAACAGGATGTGACATTCACTGTAGCGGCTGTGCGCACCTTTGGTGTTCTCACCCTGCTGCTGCTCGCCTGTCAGCACTGTAGCATAACTTCAGCCTTCCCGCTCACCGCCTCATTAGACTGTGCGAGCAGCAGCAGGCGATAGTGGAGTTTCAGCTGCAGCACACACGGGTCAGTGGCTCTGCACCAGACTTCCCTCCAATTGATCAGAGTTATAGGATTTCAAGTTCACTCATTACAATTACAGGGCCTCTAAAGAGTCCTGTATTGTTATTTGTCGTCACTACCTTCCTGCGTCGGGAGTGGGTCATTTGCGCGCCTGCTGCCTTCCTTGTATGTGGTAGCAATTTCTCAGGGTCCCTGTACGGAATGGAACCCTGATTCCCCGTTACCCGTGGTCACATGGTAGGCGCAGAAACTGGCATTGAAAGTTGATATGAATGACATCCGAATGCAAAGTCGCGTCACGGGGATGTGCGATTGGCCCGAGTCAACAAAGTACCTGCGCAACTATAATGTCAATAGCTACTCTGCAGAGCAGAGTTGTCTTTTTTTTATATGTCCCAATATTTTGTGGGCTACCCCAATTTAAAAAAATATATGTATATTTATATATAAACAATGTTGGCTACCTCATCCTCCTCCTTCACCGCTGCTTCTACCTACACCGCCACGGTCACCACCTCCTCAACCTATAGGTCACTTAGTATAAACACATTAGCAGAGGCTTATGAAGGCCTTTTCTCCATGCATCAGGAGTGGAGCATTTCTCCATGCATCAGGGCTGCAAGAAATGTACCGCAGGTCGCAAATGTTTCTTTTTTTGTATGTCCCAATATTTTGTGGGCTACCACAATTACAAAAAAAACTAAAACATAAATAACAGTGTTGGCTAACTGATCCTCCTCCTTCACCGCTGCTTCCACCTACACCGCCACGGTCACCGCCTCCTCAACCTATGAGTCACTTAGTATAAACTAGTTACACATTAGCAGAGGCTTGTGAAGGCTTTTTCTCCATGCATCAGGAGTTGAGCTCAGTTTGAACAATGAAAGAGAATACCCTGCACTCCAACCCTCTCTCAAATGGATAATTCTGGTGTTCCTCCTGACAGCCATGCTTTAGATTTTGCTTTATGTTCTTCCAAAGCTAAAATCAAAGATTCCATCTAGTGCTATTTTTATGGCTCAGCTGTAATTTTAAATTTTTGTTATTTTAAGTGATTTCCCTATCCACATTTGTTTGCAGGGCACTTGTCCTACTCTTACCCCCATTTTATGTCCTTTTGCAGCTCTCTAGCCCTTTCCAGGAGTTTTTTAGAGGCATTTTTGTGGCCAAAAGTTTGGGTTCCCTTTGACTTCAATGGTGTTCGGGGTCAGGTGCGATCACGAACCCTGACTTTTTTTCAAAGTTCGGCCGAACCCGCCAGACCCAAACATCCAGGTGTTTGCTCAATTCTATATGTGATATGTCTGGTGGTTCATCTGAGTGTGTCCCTCCTTCTAAAAAAAGGATCTGTAGTCTGTCTCTTTAAGTCATCTCTGTATTCTGGATCTGAAGTAGAATCTCCTGAACTGGCGTCATGTTTTGGAATGTTGGTTTGTGTATTTTTGCTCTAAACCTGGTAATGGGTCTATAGTTGTCCTGTGATCCTCCTAACCATCTGTATACCTGGTGGTATTTATAATAATTATTCACTTTATCCAATTTTTGTTTCTTAAAGCAAATTAAATTGTTCTTGTATTTATTTATTTCATCTTGGAGTTGTAACATTTGGATAGTAGCAGTTGATGCTTGTAATGTGATGGTGTTTGTGGTTTCCAGATTTTGTTTAGATTGTTTAACGAAGATCAATTCCTTCCCTACTTCTTCAACCACTATTACCATCCAGTCAATGGAACATTTATTGGATATATGCATCCATTTCTTGCAAAAGTCAGGATTTTGACGTCCAATCGTTGGTGCATTTCTAACACTGAAGCTGCTAGGTATTCTTTTAGCTCTGTAATAGTCGGAGATAATAGCTGGTCTAAATCAATCTCCCATTTTTATTTTATTTTAATAAATCATTGTACAAATCCTGTACTCTGTTGGTATGTATTAAATCCTTAGAGGTTTGTGGCCATAAAATGGCATTTGCTTGTTCCTCAGAGATAGCGAGTGTTTCTGCAGATTCTAGTAACGCTTTGGCCAAAAAGTCTTCCATTGCAAAAAAAAAGAAGTCTTGAGAGAAAGCAATTCACTGTTTAGTAGAATTTCTGTGAGGGTGTGCAAAGTCTTCAGTCTTCAATAAACACATTGATGTTTATTCCAAATAGGTATTTGCATGTAATTTGATCGACGTTTCGACCTGTTCGGGTCTTTCTAAAGATAAATATCTTAACATAAATTCAATCTATATATACATAACATATAAAAGTACTCACCAATATTGACAGAATCCCTCAATCCCTCCGTGCGTACCCGGAAGTGACTACTGTCGGTTACGTGACGGCGTGGTGATGTGATCAAGGATACCGATACACATGTAATTAGAC